CACACACACACACACACACACACACACACACACACACACACACACACTAATCCTTTAACCAACAGGTTAAGTATTTGATGTGCGGAGCAGGAAGCACAGATGTCTGTTGACTTAAATCCTGCACACAGTGACAAAGCAGGGAGGAGGGAGAGGTCACCAATGGTTAACTTGCTCCTCGGGGAACAGGACAGTATTTTTGCAGTCTGACCGTGACAGAGGGTTCTGACGCTGTAGCTGGATCTGCCTTTGACCGAGGTGGTCCACATATTGATCCTTTACTATTCCTGCTCTCATTCCAGAGATGTCCCTTCAAACACTTTAAATCTTACAAACTGCCACCGGAGGAGCCGGCTCCGGGTGAAATTCAGATTTCAAATTAAAAGCCGATGGGCTGATGTGTGATGTGGCATATTTAACAAACATTCAAACGCTGTAGTTAGAAGGTGCAGTCTGAATTTAGATTGTTAGGTGATGTTATTTAGTGGTTTCTTTGTGTCCTAAAACAGCATGGGACACAGTTACAGGGAAATAGATGTATGTTACCGTGCTGATCGTGGGTCAATGGTCCAGTCCAGCCCGACCACCTCATAATGAGACTGAGACAGATCCTCTAGACCATAGTGAGCATCCTTTGCAAACACAATCTGGAAAGGTTTTAAAAAAAAGAGTTGATTTTCAAAGCAGAAATCATCATGAACCATTTCTGGTGAAATGCTGCCCTCTGCTGGTCATACAGCAGATGAGTGTGTATTTATAAACGGACCAGATGAATCCTTAATGATCCCTCGTGGGAACCGGTGGTGGAGAAGCAACAGAGTGATGATAAGAATAGAAGAGAGCATTGAAACTAATATAGAGAGTGATAATAACAAGAGAACAAAGCAGAAAAATACATTCATAAATAAATAAATAAATAAATGAACAGAGTTGTCACGGTTGACTCGTGTAGATGATATGCATCATTAGCCGCAGACATTGTCAAGAAGAACACATGTTGCAGGAATCTGAATGTGTGTGGGCACATTCACACTTCTGTGTGGCTCACCATGGGAACGTCCTTTCCTGTCTCCTTCAGTTTATCTTTGACGCCGCGAGCGATGTCTCGAAGGTAAGGCAGAGAGAACTCTTTGAACTCCACCGGCCCCAGAATGCCGGCGTGAGACTCAAACACCTGCAGGGCCTGGACGGACACACACACACACACACACACACGGACACACACACACAATAACTGTTGCAGCATCTCTTTTTATGAGTAGAAACATTTAAAACAAAAAGACCTAAAAAAAAAGATAAACCTGCAGTACTGCCATTCCCTATGCCACTGCTCATAACACTCAACGATCAGTATTACCACTTATTGTATTCACTGTGTGGTCATCACAGGCTTACAAGTAATCTCAGAAACACTACAGAGCACTAAATAACAGTCTCTTCTCTCACACTGCTCTGCCGGAAAGGTCAGAGGTCACACCAGCAGAGTGGAGGCTGGACACCTCTAGAGGAGGATGTTCAGCTCTACACCAGAGCAGAAAACACACCTGCAGGCTCTTTCTTTACACTTCATTAAGTTATAAAAAAGGCAGTTTATGTCCAATCATTTGTTGCCGTCTTAAAGTTGTCCCGGCAGTATAGATGAGGTGGTAAGGTAGGGGGTTGTAACCTGAGCTCCAGCTGACACCTGTCCCAGCAGATACTCCACGATCACATCCGTCAGCATCCTCAGCAGCATGTGGCTGGCCTCGGGGTGTCTGTACAGCCACCGCTTGGCTTTAGAGAAGGTCCTGGAGCCCCCGCCTTCTATCATGTAGGACATCAGCGTCCACTGTGGAGGGGGGCACAGCAGAGAGGGGAGAGTAGGATATCACAGTACAATTCATTGTTTCTCATCCAATAATAAAATGACACCTATGATCGCTCTTCTCTGCGTCGTCTCTAACCGGAGCTCCAGTGAATCCTATGAGCGGCACTTTGCCCTCTATCTTGTGTCTGGTCAGCGTGATGGCTTTGAAGACGTAGCCCAGCTCTTTGTCCACGTCCACTTTGGCCCGCAGGCGCTGCAGGTCCTCCGGCTCCTTCAGGGGGTCCGGGAACGTGGGGCCTTTACCCGCCACCATCTGGACATCCATACCCATGGCCTGGGGGGAGGGAGGGTGAATTAATTAACGAATAAAGACACGCAGGTCTTTGAGAGATGGCTGCAATGTGATGTAGATGGAGAGACGGGGCGAGTGTCTCGAAAACTAACAATATCATCATATATTACTAATACTGTCTGAGTGACATACAGGCTTTTTATATGGCTGTAGAACTTATAAGATGCATTAAGACCACATAACACTGGCTTATACAGTAGCTATCGCGAACATGTTAGCAAACACTTAACTGGAGCAGCGTTACACTAGACTTTCTGTCCGCATGATGACAGTACGTCCACCGGGGTGGACTTTGTGGCCCGTAAAACTAAAAGCCTGATCCCCGTGTTTACCTGTGGGATCACCAGGATGTCAGAGAAGATGATGGCAGCATCGAAGGGGAAACGTCTCAGAGGCTGGAAAGTTGAAAAGAGGAAGACGTATTAAAAACAGAAATGGGATAACATAAGTCCTTTATTGCCTTGTAGTGGTGGCCTTCAATTAGTTTTATTATCACGACGTGTGAATCAAACTATTTCATGTTTAAAACCAAGTATCAGCTTCTTCTTCTAAGCTGGTATCAAGTAGTAGATACATTGTGGCAAATGACTTCAGAATTAGTTAACTGGGATGAAAATGTGATCTTTTAGACAAAAAAGGAGCAGAAGTATGAAGACAGCAGGATATATTGTGGTTTTATTCCACTGGTGTTTTGCTACATATCAGGTATTTTAGATATTTTGAGTACTTCTGATCGTATGTTTCTTCAGTTTCAGTAATTAAATGAATCTAATTCTAGTTTCAATGGGTATTTGCATTTAGGAGATAAACTAAACTCTCGTTATTCTTGCACTTCTGTCTCGGAGGTGAAATCATTCAAAAAAAAGAACTTTGATACAAAGTGTGAAGAGCATTGTTAGGACCTGCAGAGTGAGCTCGCAGCAGGCCTCTGGTGACCGACACGTCTCAAAGAAGTCCTTCCCAGCTCTGGACTCACGGAACTCTGCAAATTAGATTCAACGAAAGACGAACGTCTTAATGTCCGTTGTACCGTTATTTGAAGTCGAAAGGAAAAATCGACGGAGATGCAAAAGGAAGTCTTTGACTTTTGGTAAAGGAGAGAAAGGAAAGGCGCACGGATCACAGTACCTGGTAGGTATCTCCCAGCCTGCCTCATGCACCACACAGGGACATGCTCAGTGTCTTCTCCTCGGGCTGCTCGCAGGAACACGTCGTTCTGGAGCTGGGGGAAGTCCTTGGGGCTGGTTGGGGAAAACACAAACTAGGATTAGCATCAGATCTTCTCTGTGAGCTTAATGCTGCATCAACCATAAGGAGGAGCACAGTGGAAGAGAACAACATCAACACATTGCTCCTGTTGACTCCCGTTCGTTGTACTAGTCACACCAAGTTCACGAAGCTTAACTGTAGAACAAACTGATGCAAAATCTGACCATCAAAGATTTGGTATAAAAAAAAAACAGTAATTGTCCTTCATGAGAACGGGGTTTGGCCCCCAGTGTCCTAATCACCATAGCTTATGTTATCTAACACACAGGCAGACCCCTCCCTCTCCACGGCTTCATACAGGCGTCCAGCTTCAGAGTGGTCACTGGCAGAGATACGAGGGACGACACTCCTCTGCTCTCTTATCATCTTCCAGCAGTGGGGAAACGGTTGAATGAATGGCTGCTTTAGATGTAGTCAGTGATGCTTCATAACCTGACATATGTCATATGGAACTGTCATATGGATCACTTTAAAAATTGCTTCTCCAGTGACGTTAAAATGCAGACCACTGAAGCCTCCAGAATAAATAATAAATAATGTTAACTGTACTGTAACACTTTAACACGTGCAGAACTACTACTAGACTCTCCAAATGAAACAAATGGACAACTCAGGGAAAGTTGTGATTCACTATTTCTTCTGTTTTCATCCAGCACCAATTAATTAACTATGTTATAAATAAGAGTTATTCCCACACTGTGTTCTCACTGAAGGGCACTATAGAAGTTAAACCAGTTCAAACTAAAACATATAATAATATGAACTATTTGAATAACTAATGTAACTACTCTGATGGATTATCTAGATGCCGAATTCATCAGAACATCCAAATATTGGTTTCCGTTAATAATTGATGTAACTTAAGCGTTGAATGTGGAGATGTGAGCGCGGGAATATTAAAGCGCTGCTTTTCTCCGTAAGGTTAACGTGTGGCAGCATCAGTGAGCGGGGTTATAAACGGTGAATACGATGCTGCGTGTTGTGTGGAGAAATGTTTTCATAACAATGACACAGGCACGTTTCATAACGTCACTCAGCTAGCATGCAAACACGTTAGCGTTACCGCGAATGTAACACTGTTAGTTTTAGGATAACAACAGAGGTACTCACAGCATTACACCGTCGCTGCTCATGTCGGCGGCTCTGAAGAGGGGCACGGCTTTCTCACACGCTCCTCTGTCTCTCTCTGGAGATGTCAGATGCGACCTGCGTCTCCTCAACTGTCATTTAAACCTGCTTGCACAGCTCCTGCTACTACACCCCTTCGCTACAGGGCGCGGCCATCTTGGAAGACCACGTGACCAGACCAGGAAATGAGCCGCGGATTCAAAATAAAATACTTTGCCCTTTATCTTTAAAAAAAAGAAATGTATTTAAGTGTTTGTTTTTCCATTGTTTGTTACTCGTAAAAGATAAAACATGATAAAATAATACTTACAAAATCAGTTGTATTGTTCTTTACAACATTATATTGTTACAAATCTGATTTATTAAATTGAATAACCTCTCAAAATACCAGAAAATATATGAATAAAATAACACAATTTATGAAAAATACCTGTATCAAATGCTGCCAACATTGTATAAACATTCATAATTATACATAATTATACATTTTACATTTTTATAATTTTACACTTCTTTAGTCTTAGTTATATGAAAGAACTTTATACATATATTAAAAATAAATTACACACATATTAATCATATTTGCAAATTCTCAGAAATGTGTAGGATTAGAAAGTAATTTATGAAGTAATATAAATTAAAAAATTGTATTATTATTTGTGTAACCAAAAAATAATACGAAAATCTAATTTAAATGAATGAATCTGAAAACATTTAACGGATCCCATTTTGAGAATCACTGGCTTATAATACATGTTTAAATGTTGTACAATGGATATACAAGAAACGTCATTCTGAATACAATTTTTAAATATTAAATTACTAAAATGTAAATCTAATGATCCTTTCTTTTGGGCGTACTTCTTGATACCAAGGACATGAAGCTATTTGTGTAGTTCTCTCAGGTCACTGAGATGAACTTGAATGCAATAAGGTGAAAAATTGACTTCAAAAGCTTATGAACAGTTTTTCTTTATAAAATCAACAGAATAAGTTGTGAAGTAGGAGTGAGAACTCCTAAAGCTACATGTACAAACATCCAACACAGAGTATACTTTACTGCCTATACACATTTAGCCCATACAAAATGTACACATTCTCATTGCAAATATCAAGTAGCAAACAAACAGCTCATGGATCCAATGTCCAAAACAGCCCATACAGGGGCTGTAGAGTATCCTTCTTCTGTACATTTAAGGTTCAGTCTAACTATCAAGAGCCATCCAATGTCAAACCAAGTGCAAGTTATAAGTCCAGATTACGCTTCTGATTATACCTTAATTGAAACGATTCAAAGAACAGATTACACCCCCTAAAACAAAGAAATAAACGAAACAAATAAGCAAGAAGTAAAGTACTTCAATATGAAGTGAGGCGATCAACCTTTCACAATGAAACAGCAAACACACAGAAACAACTCAAACAACTGTGGGGGCTCCCGTCGTCAGAGCAGTTTATGAAATCATATGTCGTGAATTGTAAAACGGATAGTCATAACCTTACATAATATATTTTATAAGTAGGACATGATTTACTCTAATACCCTCTTTGACTATCAAACCAATATAAATGTCATCGTGGGATGAATGACAGCCTAGGAGATGGACATTAAGTTTGGTGAATACATATGGTCAAACAATAATTCAGTCATTTAAAGTCAAAGATATGATCACTAAATGTTTGTTCAGTTTGTGCAGAAATCAAGTAACCAATCCTCTTTTATTGTGTCCTGCCTTTGCAAACTCTTTGTACAATCAGCTGTTTCAGTCCCTCTGTACACATACATCAAATGAAATGTATTTGGTCCAAATGTTTAAATGCTTTGGCCCAAGACTCCAAAAACATGATTAAGACTCCTTATCTCTGTAGTCCATATACCGTTTTTTCTGTTTATACCAATTTTGTGCAAAATCCATCTCCCCTCTACCCCAAAATGCTCAATATACTGCAGCACATTCCGGAAACTGCATATTCTGAACAGCAAATATGAAAGAAATGCATTGCATAAATGTATAGAATGTGTCATATATATACACAGAATATTACAAAAACATATCTAAAGTAGCTCCAAACATAACCTGGAGTGAATGTCTCTCTCTCTCTCTATGGTTGTTGCTGGTACTGTCCCTCTGTGGCCGTGTAGAAGTCGTCCAGGACGCTCTGCATGTAGTCGAAGGTGGGCCTGTCCTCGGGTTTGTTCTTCCAGCAGGACGTCACGATCTCGTAGAGCTCGGCGGGACAGCTGTTGGGCTGAGGCATCCGGTAGCCACGCTGCACCGAGGACATCACCTCTGCTTTGGTCATACCTGAGGACGGTGCAGGCAGACATGGAGGAGCCGATACATGAGAGAGAGTGAGAACCAGTAGAGGGCAGTAGAGCTTCGTAACTCTAAGAGCACAATGTTATTTTGTCATTTTGGTTTCCATTGCTTAGTAATCAAGCAACAATCCCACCAGATCCCCAAAACCCCAGGGGGCCACAATTAATCAATTGTTTTTCTTTTTTTCCGGAAAAATAGCAATATCCACTACAACAGCACACATTACATAATAAGGGCCTTCAGGAAGCTCCTGTTTTATTAGCCAACCCCGAGTCCCTTAGTTGAAAAGTGACCCTTCATCAAAATTCTACATCATAAAACTTTTAATGTTACAGCTGATAATATGTTTACATTCTTGCTACCACTACTGCTAATGCAAATTTCCCCGCTGTGGGACTAATAAAGGATTATTTGATCTTATCTTAACACTAATAGTCTATTTAACCCTTGAAATGACTCCAGTGACAAATCAAAGCCATACACAATAGGATGAATGCGTTAAGAGAATAGCTTATGGTGGTAATAATAATCACGACACGTAACGTTTAACGTTCACCTGGGTATGGGATTTTCCCGTAGGTTATAATCTCGTAGAGTAGAACTCCGAAGGACCACATGTCTGACTTGATGGTGAAGGAGCCGTAGTTGATGGCCTCTGGAGCGGTCCATTTGATGGGGAATTTGGCTCCTGCGGGAGGACGCGTCCACAGTTACGCACACACAGGCTTTGTGTCACCGGTAACACATTTATACAAGGATACGTAATATGCCATTAATAAGATCTGTAAATGACAGTTAGAATTCTTCTACTGTATGTAAATAACATGTCAGACATTCCATCGATGCAATATGTAACGGAAGGTTCCGATTCTATTCATGCACTTGCATTTATTTATAATTTTCCTTTACTGTAGTTTCAGTGTCTCTTGGTTCCAGATCAGCGATCAATGAAGTTTCCTCTTATGACCGAGATGCACACATTCTCTCCCGCATATCTCTCGGCACAGTGTTGTATACTAGATTATCATGTGACCTAGACTGGTCTCAGTGTTGAAGGAAAATAACTCAGTGTGTGGTTTGAGGCCTTCGGAGGTGTTGGTCATTAACGGGTCCACGTGATTTGAGCTTGAAAAAGTGGAGCGTCTGGCAAATGACACCAAACGTCTGGCTTGTCACACAACACGCTGGACTACACACTAATTAGTCGATTCTGCTTCTAGTTCTTAAAAGGGGAGTTTTATTTGAATGTGTCCTTGGTGTCCAATCAGGAAGTCAGCTCATATGTTATGGGGGGAAAAAAATATCTCAAGACTCAAGACAACAGTGTGACATTTCTTTTGAGTTCAAAGCAGAGAGAGGCAGGGTGTATGTCACTAGAAAGCAACTGTAAGATCTCAGTGTCTGAATCTGTCACACACACACACACACACACACACACAGTTTACCTTCTCTGGCAGAGTATTCGTCGTCCTCGATGATTCTTGCTAGTCCAAAATCAGCTATTTTACAGAGCAGACTCTCTGACACCAGGACATTGGCTGCTCTCAGGTCTCGGTGGATGTAATTCTTCTTCTCTATGTACGCCATGCCCTCCGCTATCTGCAACAGCACAAAGGAAATACGGTGTGCAAGAGCGGAACGGTACGATCATTATCCCAATAACGAGACGAGCAAAGATGGCAAAGAAAAAAACAATGAAAATCACTCTGTGAGACTGATGCTGCGGGCAGATTCAGACAGGTCTGTGGGTGACACGAGCACGCTAAGGATCCAGTTAAGGCTCGTGCTGAAACAATGAATATCTGGTGGTGGATTTAAAGAGAGTGTGATGGGCCATTTGCGGTTCACAGTGACTCACATGCCTTCCTGTGTATTATCACTGTGAACTGAACATTTGGGCGTTTGACTGTTAAAAAGAATAGAAAGGGAACTAAGACATTGAATTTGCATTTCTGCTTGTACTACTGTATTTCATTTCTTACACTGCTTTTTAACGTTTCAATGAATGTTCTTACTTGTTTTTAAATCTCCTTTTCTTTCGCCTTATGTTTTGATGCTTTCCATTTTTTTATGTGAAGCACTTTGAATTGCCTTGTTGTTGAAATGTGCTATACAAATAAACTGGCCTTGCCTATTGACTAAATAAAACTGACTCATTAAATAAGAATATTTATTACATTTGGATGAATGAAGTACAAACCAAACCTCACCAAATAATCAAAATGCCTGCCGCTTTACGAAAGCTTCCTTCAAACAAACATGTTTTTCTCATGTTCTCACTCCATCCCAGGTCACGCTTCTTAGCTTAGCTTTACAATATACATTGATTTATTTCTCATTCAACCGTAAGTTAGACTAAAACGTATCAAGGAGCAAGAGTCACCTTTTTCAAGTGTGCATAGTTTAAGGGCAAAAAGAGGAAGAATAATTAGAGTAAAGTGTTTTTTTTTCCAGGCCTGTAATTTTTGTATTTTTCCTACAACGAATTACATAATTTGCTGGAAAAAACAGTTGTTTGAAGTAAATATTCATTCATTATTCATCAGTGAAGTGTTATATTTCTGCTTTTGGTTATGGTTCCTCCTTTCAGTTCAGCAGTGGAAACAGTGATGTTGCATCTGTTTCACAACCAGGGAGAAGCGTGAGCCGTGAGAAAGAGCAGCATGTCGTGGTCAGTGTGCAAATCACCTGCGCTGAGAAATCGATGAGCTTGGGGAGCTGGAGTCTGCATCCCGCATCGCTCTTTAAGAAGTCTAGTAGGCTCCCTAAGGACCAGGAACAATAAGAAACATTGTCTGTGTCTTGCATGTCTGTGTCCATGTGTCCAACATTTTTTTTTCACTCGTTATAAAAGATTCATCTTTTACTTATGAAGGTTATCCTGAAACAGACTTTTTTTCATCCGTTCATATATCATAAACATTAGAGAGAAACAGTTTTGACCAGACTTGTCTCACTTCCCTCTCAGGGCTTTCATATGGTCCTCTGTGAAATATGTCCAAGGATTAATGTGTGGTCGCATGAATACTGTATGTCACAATACTAAGCTGCTGACAGCAGCACATCTTATTACAAGATGCTTTTTCTGAATATCTAAAAATACGCTTATTGTCCTGCTGCACTCATTAGAAGGAGCTCCAGATACAAGCTACGTGTCATAAAAAATAAAGCTCATTCACCATTTGACATATATTCCGTGATGATGTAGATGGGGGGTGTCTTGGTGACAACAGCGTAGAGCCGCACCAGCCGGTCGTGCTGCAGCGTCTTCATGACGTTGGCTTCATCCATGAAGGCCTCGACCGTCATGGTGCCCGGCTTCAGCGTCTTCACCGCCACTGTGGTCGCGTTTTTGTAGTAAGCTGATTTCGCAGAAAGTGAAGGAAGAGGGAGATAGAGAAACCATTTATTCTTTTTTCATGGAAATTGTTGCGATAAATATAAGAGCTTGAGGAAAAAAAAGCAAATCAAATGAAGCAACACTATATTTACTGTGGTAGGTGCAGTAGCTTCACTATTTGACACTAGATGTAGAAAATAAATGACGAAACGTAATGCTGTAATGCTTAAATGATCTTATTTGTTAAGTTGAAGCTGAAATATTACATGACTTTGTGGACAAATATGTGTTTATGCTTTAGTATTGCACCTTCCATAAAGTTAGGTGACTTAAAAATAAAATAAATTTAAAAATGAGGTACAGGTCAAGATATCCAGACTTTTAGCCCCCATTGGTCCAGCTCAGAGAGCACTGGATCCTGCATGTTCCATAATGCAGCACCATATGATATAGTCAGCCACAAACACCTTTAAAGTCCCCGTAAAGCAAAAACAAGTGTTCCGAGTTTGTCACAACACCGAAAAACATGTTATTGACCACCCAGCTTAATTTAAATGCAAAAAAGTAGTATACTCTAAAACGCCGGGGGCATGTGTGCTTTTTATGGCTTTGGCAACAGTTCAGGAAACCAAGATGTGCCCATTACACAATATTACATTAGACTTTTCAGGTTTTAGTTTTGAATTTGATAGCAGTGGGTCAAATAAGCAGTCAGAGTTACACCGTACAGCTGCTGTCGACCAAATAAGGCGTTTTAACTCTCACTATGCAATTCCAACGATGCACTTTTACGTAACAAGACAATATAGTACAGTTTACTAGACAAGGTGCTATGTTTAGTTCAGAATATGGACACAGTTTGAGCCGTATACATAACCGGTTTGACAGAATGTATTTTTTTAACCTGGCCGTGAATGCAAAGCATCCAAATGCAATTGCTTCACGGCAATGAATACACATCTATGATATTCTCACATACACAGTAGCTTTTTAAGAAAAGAACCTTTAAATAAAGATAACATCATTATCACAAATAAAACAGTAACCTGATTCCAGGAATTACGACTTCCTCGTCATTACAAACTCACAGATATAACACAATCACACTTTTTTAACATTATCTTGTTAGTTCCCTCTTGTGTCAAAGAATTGCAGCCGCAATTGTGTTTAAAATTAAAGTGCTTGAAGGGCAATCATATAGAAACATCCACAATCGCTGCAACATAGGTAAGTATCAAACCACAGCAAGGTTTGTACATATAGTCCCTCTCTACACTATTCTTCTTCTGTGTGTGTGTGGCATCACCAGATCTCCCTTCAGACTTACTGATGTGCTGCATACATAAATAAACTGGCAACGCTGCTGGTCTTCCCACGACAGTCTTTACTACATGCATGGACACATTTGAGCCAATGTTCAGTTCAAACCAAAACTATGCTCTACAACTAATAGATAACAAAAGAAGGAAGTCATTTTTGTTTCAATTAGGGGAAAATGGAACTTCCCCGTACTGTTCACTTCTGCAGCTCTGAATTCACAGAAATGAGACAAAGGAATCAGAAATCCCCAGACGTGCAAAACTCAACTAGACGTTTTTCGTGCATTTTCGTGCATGTGAGCATGCCCCACTGGTGCTATACTGCATATACAGCACCTTTAAGCTTGATTCCTGCATTTCCGTAAAATGCTGGTTATCGGTGTAAATATCGCCAATGCAGGCACTGCGGCCCGTCTGGAACAAGCCCTCCAACAATGTTTTGAGTGGAAAACTGGCACATGTAGATGGTTAAGACCATCACCTCAGAAAAATACCACATTCTGTGATACCACTTGCTATATATAGTCAATGCACGAAATATGTCGATCTGACAAGCTCAGCACATCTGCCAGCCGAGCAAGCAGTCATGCCTTTCAAACATAAAGGCAGCAGTAAGTTATAGGGCCCTGCATAGTGTGCACTGGGGCCCCTAATAACTACACTATGCTACTGGACCCTTTTTGCAGTTTCCTAAAACAACATGAGATGTTGTTGTTATTGCTGTGCATAACCTGAGGGCACAATGTGTTGTCTTTTGTCACTTGATCTGACCGAGACCAATCCATCTTTGTGGGAGCTAAAACTCCCACAATCCAAGCCCTCAAGGTCTCTGAGACACACAAGCCTCTCCATCACGACAAAGTGACAGCACAAAAGGAGAACCTTAGGGAGCTCATTGCGGCCTTGTGTCCCACAGAGAGTTGGAGGGTTGGGCGTAAAACATTTGTTTCTCTCATCTCTTTACTCACCCATCCAGACTTCTCCGAACTGGCCTGCTCCGAGTTTCTTCACCATCTTAATAGAATCTTTGGAAATTTCCCACGCATCTTTGTCCCACGGCTTCTGAGCTTTGGGTTTCACACACATACGGTCCAGTTTACGACACAGGCCATCTGCTTTGCCTGGAAGACACACACACACGCACACAAACAGCCGCTGAGGTCTAAGGCATCCTTGAGTTGGATGTTCAGTTTTATGAATAAAACATCAAAGTCTTTAGGCAACGAATAAAAAACACAATTGATGGCAAACACATGAGAGGGGTTGGGTGACAGTTTTGGAGTAAAGAATATTAGGCAGCTCCACTCTGGAGCTGTACTCACTGTGGTAGTGTTTGATCATACCACCGATGCTGGGGAAGGAGATTTTAGGAGAGATGTAATAGCCGCCATTATCCAGCAACCTTATCTTATAGTGCTTGACCGAATCTGTCCCCTGGGCGCCCACGTCTCTGACGGACAAGGAGAAACTTCCTGCGGAAGCGTCGGCAAGTAAGAGAGAGTGATTGGAAACGAAGCAGGAGGAAGACGACGTATTGAGAGCGTGGGATGTGTCTCCGACTGTCTCGGGGTTGTTGTGATTTCCATACCTTTTGATGTTTCACTTTCCCTGATAAGGTAAGAGCCTGGCTTGTTCGCAGGCGCCAACAGCTGCCTCTCCGCATCCTTTCTTGTAGTGTCCTTGAAAAACCACCTGCAATGAATGTGGGAATGCACTGAATACACAAAACGCTCAGATGTCTTTCATTCATTGTGACTTTCCACCCAATTTTTGCAAATGGCACCTCGGGTCGTGTCAAAGCTTTGTCACTATTGGGGGGGCAGGCGGAAAAGGAAGGAGCCAAACGCAGACCAGGCAGACAGATGAGTGCAGTAAATGATTTAATCAAAGATGAAGTTACAAATTAGAAAGTCGGAAACAACAAAGGATCAGAGGAGGAATAAATAGGGAGTGACACATTGGGAAGTGGGAGGTCTGAGGGACAAGAGAAAGGTGAAGCTGATCAGGACGGGGCAGACAATCAACGAAGGCCAGAAGTCACACAAAAGGCAAGGACGTGAAACCAAACAAAGGGCACACGAGGAACTTCAGAAATAAAACAGACTCAACAAAACCCAGTTTACAGTGCGATGACAATCGTCAGCAGGAAACAAAATGTTTGTCGCAATAAAACATCCTTTTTCAAATACCGTTTATTGAGAGTCAAAAAAGTATTAAAAGTAATTCATTACTCACTCCTCTGTTTCCATGGTGTCAGCTTGGGCGACATAATTGCACGGGATGAATCCTTCTTTGTTGGTTATCAGTGACTTCGCTTTCCACCACTCCCCATGGCTGCAGGAGACAGCGATCCATTTCAGCACAAGTATTGTTTTTCTTTGATTGTCAGCGAGTGTACCTGAAGGGAAAGCTGGCCCTCTGACAGCAGATGACCAAGATAGCTATCTCTGGACCTACTATGAGTTATATTTGAGGCCATTTGCTGTATGTCCCCGGGAATATCATCATATTTATTTTTCAAATTTTTTTGGTCAATAAAGATAACAAATTATATGCTTATCCAACGCAAATTATAACAAGTAAATAAACTATTAAAATACACTATTCAATTAAATGAATAATGTGTTATTTCCTTTGATATTGTTTGTCATGTACTGATTTGTGCTGTGTGTGTATGTGTGTGCTTTACAACTATTAACTACCATGCATGAGGGCCTGTCATATTAGTGTGTGCTGAGAACCATCATAACCACCTTATCCCGTTGATCTTAAGTGGCTTTAAAGTAGAGATAATATATTATCTATGCACATGAAGAAGTCAAATATCCATTCATCAGCCCGTTACAACACGTCATTGTGATTATATGAAGCTTACTGTACAGTGAGAGGGACAACGTTTTCTAATTGATGCATCGGTCTCATGTCTTAGGCATCATTTAATGAGTACTTCTGAAATATATATATATTAGTAGTATTTGAACGTTCTGATCTTCACTTGAATTTTCTGGTGAGTCTGTCATGAGTGGGTGCATGAGGGTTGAAGAGGTTACTGTGAACTCTGACAGTCTCCTCGTGTGGCGTGCAGCTAAAACAGTGCTCCATTTCGTAGCTTGTTCAAGCGTCCGTCTGCGGTTCCCGCCCCTTTTTTTACGTTGCAGTATATAAACAATGAATAACATTTCTGGGAGTTGAATCGGTCACCATCGATTGTCGAACACTCACTCCTCTAAGATCTTCATCTTTTCTCCTTTCTTGAATCCTAAGTCGTCGGGATGCACAGATTCATACGGGTAGAGGCTGATCACAGTTTTACCGACCACACTTTTCTCTGAGAGAGCGAACAGAAAAGGATATCAACATGTCAGATACTGCACCACAAAACAAATAAATAGTTTTAAGTCAGCTGCACATGCCTGAATACTTTCGTTATTTTTTTAAAGTAATTCAAATTTACAATTTTTTCATCTTCCACATAACGTGGCTTAAATTCACAAAGAAAGCTCAGTTATGGCCAACATATGCTAGTAGCCTGCTGGTTTGCGTTAAGCTTGTCTGGAAGATGTAAGCCGAGGTAGGTCACCAGCTTTTTAACACTTTTAGATTACATTGACTCTTGTTACTGTAACAACTTCCCATTTTTGTGCACGTCTACGAGTCATTTGGATTCGGTACTTTGCTCATTTCAGTCGCATCAGTTCTCAAGTATAAACAAAAGTCAACATCGTGATAAAATGTGTGACAATGGAACAGAGGACAGGAGATGAATCAGCAGCTGCAGCATAGAAGAAGTAGCACGTGTGCGTCTACAGCGGTTTGTCAACATTTGGTGAACCTGGAGGTCAGCGTCTCCCTGGTGTCCGATGGGATCTTTCTATTGCATTTTGGATTATAGCAGAAATCCAAAATGCTTAACCTTGTGTTAACCACAGATCTTATTCCCAGCATCTGAGCAAAAACCCACTCAACAAACATTGACTCTGAGGTAACTAAAGTAATCTGATTTACATATTAGGTTCAGCTTAACTTTATTGTTTAGCACAAAATGAGGACTGTGTTTTGTCCTCCATCTCTTACATTGAGCTGGGAAAGCATAGCCTCATAGGCAGGAGTAATTACAGGTCAAGTCTTTTCATTTACATGTGGGCATGTGTGTATAATATAAAGACAGACGTTTGACTCTGAACCCTTTAATGCTGCTAGCTTTCATAGTGAGTATTATGTTGTAGAAATGTTAAACATAGTCATAGCAAAGACATGCTGCTCCCTCACCCATGCATTTTGTCTTCCAAATGTGAAAGCTGTCCAACAACTTGGTTTTATACCAATACTTTTGCAAAAGAAAGTAAAAATGAAACACACATAAGAAGAAATGTGACATACCTTCCATCTTTTGGAACACCTGACCAGGTAACAGGGAGTTATCCTGCAAAGGCAGACCAAGAGATCCATCAGAGACTGTGTGTCCATGTTCACAGAGACACCAGCTGCTTCTTACACAATAGTTATAGTATTATATCTATTTGTCTGTCTGTCTGTCTGTCCGTCCGTCCGTCCGTCTGTCCGTCTATCTATCTCTTCTAGACTACACTCTTTCACAATACGTCCATTTCCCTCTGCTATGTAATCGTGTAAGACAGGGAAGTTCTGTTCATTAGGAAATGTCTGAGTCGCTATTTCTCAGAATCATTCAGAAAGGGTGTAAAAATACTTCCTTGAGAACTGAATATTCTCACTTTCAAGACATTCTCCATTAGTTCACTTTCTAATTCACCAGGGCACAATTAAGTAAAAAACATAACAAGCTTGATTTTTATGCTGTGACTTTCCACCTCAAATCAAGTGTATCTCAGAGAGCACAAATCAGTATCTCATTCTGGTTTCACTCAGCGCAGCTGTCTGGCTACTTACTGTGTTGCTTTTTGTGTTGGAGGTTGTTGGGTCTCTGACATAGTGCGTGGGGTTGGTATGTACAGTCTGCTGGCCGGTCTTTCCATCCACACCTCCGCTCAGACCGCCTCTCAGCGTGGACTTCATACAGCCCATACTGCAGGGGGAAGTGAGAAGAAGGAAGCGTGAGCTGGAAACACTCTAAAATGTTTGCCACCAAACACCTGTGGCTTTTCAGCTCTTGTACGTCAGAATAACTCTTAACCAAACCATTGGCATGTTCATATTTTTTTTTACCTTTTCATCTCTTGGTGTTTCAAAAAAGGGAAAGAGGAAATGCACATTGTCACTTAGAAACTGACAAGAACCTTACAGCTATGTTTGTAGCTCCAAATGAGTCTTTTTTGCTACTGCATGGTCAGTGCTTTCAATATCACTTCCATGGCATCAAATAGGGCAGTGGCCCTACATTAACAACTATGAAACTCTACGTGGACGTAGTTATGGTGGGAGTAGAGGAGGAAGTCAGGCAACGTGATATAACAAATCCGGGTAGGGAGGACGTTGGGGTCGATGGTTCCAAAAACAAGACGGGGTCTCTTTGCAGGCTCGCAGACTCCACAACACATCACCTCAGATAACTTCTGAGATTAACGTACTTATTTTAACCCAAAACCATGATCTTTTCCTAAATCTATCCCAAACTAAGACTGTTTTGAGGGTGTAACAGGAAGGTGTGTCTAGGCCTCGATGTGCACTCACAGATAGACCTACTTGTAAAAACACAGGACTTTCAGCCAGGAGACCACTGTTTGTGTCCCGTGGCGAGTAATATTGTAATATTGTAACCTAGGTACGCAAGTTGAGTTATGTAACATAGCATAACATACCTAAGTAAAGTTGCGTAAAACATACTTAACTTTCGTTGCATACGTAACGTATTTAACTACGTGACAAATGTACTTCTTTTAAGCCAAACCAAATTCTTTTCCTAAACCTAACCAAGTACTTTTTTTGCCTGAACCTAACCAAGTTGTTTCCTGGAAACACTGAAGTTTATTTTGAAAAGCCAACATATGCATGTAACGAACGGGTATTGACAGGAGCAAATCTGTCTCTAGAGGGGTACCGAGAGTGTCAAAAAAATAAAGTTAAGTAATATGCAACTATTTAGCAGTTAAAGAACATACATTTTTGTGGGAACTTCTTCACACAGTCCAAAAAAAACAAAATCCAGGTTCGGTTAGTTTGTAACTCTGATGGTGTTAAGGGTTGTCTGTCTCTCTGTGTGTGATTGACTGGAGTAAATGCTGTTTCTGAAATGTTTCCACAGCAATAAGCACAAAATACCTATAATCTATAGCATAATTCCAAAAATATTACTTTGATCCATAAGGACACTCTATTTATTAATAGATATAATATATATATAATAGTCTGCTGTACTGTGTCAGCATCCAGTCCATTCAGTGTAAAAAAAGATTGTTTTTTTTATTGTGGCTTGAGGCTGCAGGATGTTTACTGCTAACCAGCAGGAAGCCCACAAACACTGACACACCATGCCATTTGTACAGAAGCACATACAGATATATGTATATATCAAATATTTTTAACTGTAAACTTCCACAGATGTGTCCTGTGTGAAAAGCAATGGTATATCAGCATAGGTCATAATGAGTGCGATGTGAAAGTGTGTAGCTCTGTGATATTCAATTAGCCTTAATTTTATGACTATGGATTGTTCATGACAGTTTTGTACCCTCTGTTTTTTTAAGCATGCTGGCATCTTGACTCTGATGGCAGTGTCATAGTTTGCACTGGAGATAAGATGAGATATTCTTTTATTTAACTCTTGTTTTTGCATCTGGCTTTGTATATTTACACCAAACTCTTACCAGTTAAAGAGGAAGACATGACAACTTTTAGCAAACGTCCCAACGTCACCTGCAGTATTATGTTTGTTTAAGGGAAGCACGCACACACACACACACACACCTTGCATAGTTATAAATCAATTTCATGCATCTAGCAAATAACCCTCATTGCAATGTTTATATGGACATGTGATAAGGATGCTCTCAACAATGCAGACCGACAGTTAAAACTGATTTTTTTTTGTTTGAAAAGCTTGGGTTTCCTTTCCTGGGGAAATATCTACTCAAATTTTGGACCCATTGGAGAATATTTAACCACTTTTCCAGCTTTGTTTCATTCCGCTTTATTGATCTTGGACGCGGCAGAGTTTGCTTCCTCATTGCATATCTCTTCGTTTTTTTAAATTTATTTAATCTTTGCTTTTCTCTTCTCAACTTATTTAATAAGGTCCCGACTTTTTGTCCATTCCGCTTGCATAAGTCAGTTTTGGTGTTTAAACTAGCAAAATATTAAAATAATTGCTTCCATCAATTTTACTTGAGTGTGTACATGAGTGTGTACACTAAGAGTATGTGTTAAAGTAGTTATTATATCACATACTCATATGAGTATGTGCTGGCATGATGTTTGACATGTGAAGATTAGGTTGGATCAGCTGCATTGATACATTGATGCAGGGAGTTTATTAAGGCATCACAGCAGCAGTTCATGTTGCTCACACCTGTTTTCTAAAAAAAGAAAAACAGCAGTGCTGCTACTTTTCCAGGAAACCGAAATGCATGAGTGAACACCAACAGAGACAGCGGGAACACACTTAGCTAGTTCTGTGGGCCAGCAAATGCTCTTTAAAACAGCAGGAACAGAAGTTAAGATGTTAACGATGGCTCTCACAGTAAATGATCCCGGGCCAGTCAGAAGAGAAAGTAGGCTCAGTCACATGACAGGTTAGGAGGAATCACCAATGACGAGCAACAACCAAGCATTGATTACATACATCCCATTGCTATTAGCTATAAGCATTTTGCTTTTTGGCCTTAAAGTCAGCCTAAAAGACACTTTGACAGCTGTGACGACCCTCTCTGCCTGGTCGTTTGGCTGCCTTCCTTGCAGGTGTGGAGGTGGGTGTGGCAGAGGGTCGTCAGGCAGAGTGGAAGCATCTGAGGCCATTAGCAACACTGGCCCTGCGTGCCAGAGCACCCAGTATAAAAACCCTCTGGATTCTCAGTTGGTCTCTCGCTCCTTCCTGAGACACCCACTTTGGTTTTGGTTGTAGTTTGTTTTTACGCTATACAACTTTGCATATACACTTCAGACGCACCCACTCACTTACACTGCTGAAATGACTGACTTCACATGTCACTGTTAGTTTGCTTGTCTTTTATATTACTTTAAACTTAATAAATAATTGATAAACTGCTTCATTGAATGCGTCTCCCTTTTTTGTCATGGCTGTTCAGCCTGGTTTGTGACATAGCACATATTTTGTTCCCAAGCAAATTAAGTTTGCAATACAGGTTTGTGTTATAGTAGCATGCAAAAAAAAAGCCCTCAGAGTTTCAGCTGGCAAGAGCCCCGGGCTGGTACTGAAGAGCCGGACTGGGTTGTCCTGTGTATGACATGAATTTTTCAACAGATCTGGCAACCGACGAATGCTAAATATGGCTGTTATCGTTGTCGATATCTAATGTTCGCAGAGAAAAATATAAATACATTATGCAAATATAACTCCAGCTGTTTTATTCCACTCGCACTCATTTCCATCCACAACATTTGCAAACGAGGTTGAGTTTGGGGTGGGGGGGGGAAGTGTAAACCAATTCAAAACACCAGCATGAATGATTGTGTACCAAATCTCAGGGCAAACCGTCCAGTAGGCTAGTATTTCAAAATGTTGTGCCAATTCCTCCAAAGTAAGAGTTCACCGTAGACAGTAGGATTTATATTGAAGGGAAATATTTCATTTTGCCATCCCTAGATTGAGAGCTAAGAACTTAAAGCATTAAAAACTCCAATAGCTGCATAAAACATTACCCTTGTCTTCCACATAATCTTGCTTTTACTCCTAAGGAAATCAAGTTCATAAGTCATGTTTTCTTTTGAGTAATAGTATGCAAATACAAGTGGTTATTGTCCCCAAAGATGACAGATTGTTTGGTTAAGAGTTAGGGGAGAAAAAAAAGGTTTAAGCACTCTCAACTCAATAGTAAACAAAAAAATGGACACACCTGAAAATCAGGATTGGGGCTGAACACGTTAACTTGTCTAAATAGAGGTTTATGAATCGAGATGATGATACACATTGCTGAATCAAACAATGTGAGCAGTTGGGCAGTTTGTCACAGCTTCATTGGTTCAGTGCCTTTGTTATATTTTTAACTTGACAGTCAAGCAAACAGCAGGAAACCATAAGGGTCTGAACAGATTAGGAGCCGACACACACACACACACACACAGTGTAGTCTGCTATGACCAACATACAAACTTCCTCCTTTAGCATTGGACTGAGCCCATAGACTGGACTGGTGAAGAAATGAAAGGAGCGGTGTTAATCCACTGCAGAATGCGATGCAACTACTTGACAAATCCGGTCGGCATATACTGCCACCTGAGACCATCAAATTCAGTTAAACCAGCTTCATTTCTTAAACATGCAACTTACAAAATATTATTTTAATCTGAATATGACAATCTTGACAATCTTGACAAAGCACACATGAAGTTCCATAACAAACACCTTTGACATTCAAGAAAGAAACCAACAAACAATTTTCAAATAGGCCTAAACTCAATTTAAAGCAACTACCTGAAACGGATTGAATCGTTAAAAATCACAGTTCAACCAAAAATTCCCAATCGAGTTTTCCTGCAAATGAAACTGAATTACTCATCTTTATAACTCTTCTATTGTGTGTGTGTGTGTGTGTGTGTGTGTGTGTGTGTGTGTGTGTGTGTGTGTGTGTGTTGACCTTTGCACATCTCTGACTGCTGTTATTCACACCTCGCATGCATTTGTGCTTACCTCTCTCTGTGTGTGTCCCCGCTGAAGGAAACAGTTCATCCAATGCCAACAAGTGTTTTTTTAGTCCTCGGAGTTCTTTTCTGTGTTTTTAATCATCAGATTGACACACAGGCTGCTGGACAGGCGGTGCTGACAGTATCTGGTTCGCCAAGTAGGTCGACCGGTCGACACGGACTGTTACGTTCGTCCACCAGAATGAGGAACTTAGACAAACTGGCCGGGGACTTTTTTTTCTGACTGAAACTTCCTGGTACAATTGTCTAATGATTATTTGCATAATCACCAACACCACACACATACGCACACGCACTGGGGCACAGCAGACAGATGTTTCTTTCACGTCTTTACATGAGGAAACACTATGTTTGTTAATGTTGAAGTAGAGAAGAATTTAAAATGTTATAAAAGACACAAACAAACAGAATCCCTTTGAGGGAATTAAAGATTTTATGATTGTTTTTTGTCTACTTACATCCAATAGTGAATATACAATCTTTTTAATAAAGATCATATAAATGTAACATATGCTTAACATTTACCATAATTTGAGTGTCATGTGTGTTTGCCTGTTATATTTTATAAATTCCCCCACAGCGCTACCTGTTGGCCAAATTGCAGAAGTACAACATGACAAGCAACTCTGCATTTTTCTGTCATCAGTTCTTTATTTTGTTTTGACACACGGAGTAGAAAACATGGTTACAGACAGAGAAACACCGACACATTTAGCAGAATCATGCACCTGCTATATTTCTGCATGCAGAATTATGAACGGCTGAGTTTATACAGCCGGCGGGAGTCACTATACGCTCACATGGCATTTTACAACTGGAAAAACCTGAAAAAAAGCATCGAGCTGCAGTATGACAGGAAGATTATACTTAGTAAAACTGGGGAGAAAGTAACAAAACACACAGTTTTAACAGAGCATGCGTGTCTTTACAGATGGTGATTATAGGATGAATCCATTATTTAACAAAGGAGCAGGAATGTAGTTCAGGCTCAATGTCCGAGATAGAAACCTTCACACAAACATGTTACACTTTACCGGAAGCTCTACTGAGTATTGCATATCTACATTTAAGGAAAAGTTTGACATTTTGGGAAACTTATTGGCCTTACTGCCGGGAGTGAGATGAGAACGATACCACCCCTCACATCTGTGTGCTAAATATGTAGCTGGAGCAAGCAGCTGTTTTAACTTAGCTTAGCGGACTAGCTTGACTAGCTTATCTACATTAGGGTCACAAATCAACAGAGAGAGGAGCAACACACTTGGCTTATAGTTTAGTCGCAAGTCAAAGGTCAGGAGGAATCAAACAAACGCTTTGAGGCCACACCTGTACAGCTTTGAGCTTAGCTTAGCATAAAGACTGGAAACGAGGGGGACAGCTAGCCTGGTTTACCTCTAAAGCTCGCTGTTTAACACGTTATGTCTCATTTGTGTAATCCGAAAAAACCACAGACTGTATCAAAGAGTGGACGTAGACTCCGTGATTTAAACAGGTGAGTTATT